GCCATAGGTAGTACTGCTGCAGCGGCACTAGGTACTGCGATCCCGGACCGAAGAAATGACTGGTTTGACGGCGAATGCAAACTGTTAGTAGAGGAGAAGAATGCTGCAACACAAAACTCGGTTTTCCGAAGGAAGAAGCGTCAGCAGGAAGACTGAGATTGCGAGGCGATGGAAAATCTGTACCGCATAAACGACACACGGAAGTTCTACGAGAAGCTAAATAGTTCGCGCAAAGGCTACGTACCGCAAGCCGACTTGGACGGTAACCTTCTCACGAACGAGTGTCAGGTGATTGACAGGTGGAAGCAGTACTATGACGACCACCTCAACGGTGATGCAGCAGAAAACGAAGTTGGAACGGCAACAGACCTTGGATCACGCGCAGAAGACGACAAGCAACCGGCCCCTGATCTTCAAGAAGTTGAGTAGGAGATCGGTCGGCTGAAGGGTGGTGAAGCACTGGCTAGAGCGCTGCACTGGGTAATTTCCAAGATTTGGGAGGAGGAGATATTACCGGAGGATTGGATGGAAGGTGCCGTATGCCCAATCTACAAAAAAGGCGACAAGTTGGATTGCTGCAACTACCACGCGATCACACTGCTGAGCGCTGCCTACAAGGTACTCTCCCAAATTCTATGCCGCCGCCTGTCACCATTTGCTAGAGAGTTCGTGGGGCAATACCAAACGGGATTCATGGGTGCCCGTGCTACTACGGACATCATTTGTTCATCGATTTCAAATCCGCATACGACACAATCGATCGAGATCAGCTATGGCTTTCCGGATAAACTGACGCGATTGGTCACGGCGACGATGGATCGAGTGATGTGCGTTGTTCGAGTACCGGGGACACTCTCGAGTTCTTTTGAATCTCGAAGGGGGTTACGGCAAGGTTATGGACTTTCGTGTCTGCTATTCAACATCGCGTTAGAAGGTGTGATCATAAGAGCAGGGATAGAGACGAGTGGCACGATCTTCAGGAAGTCCGTCCAGCTTCTTGGCTTCGCCGATGACATTGAAGTCATGGCACGGAACTTTGAGTCGATGGTTGAAACGTACATCAGACTGGAGGCTGAAGCTAGGCGGATTGGACTTGCCATCAACGCATCAAAGACAAAATACATGAAAGGAAGAGGTTCTAGGGAAGACAATGTTAGCCTCCCATCCCGAGTTCAGATTGATGGTGACGAAATCGAGGTGGTCGATGAGTTCGTGTCATTGGGTTCACTGGTGACCGCCGGAAATGATACAAGCAGAGAAATTCAAAGACGCGTTATGGGAGGGAATCGTGTCTACTTTGGACTTCGCCACCGCACGAAGTTGACTGTCTACAAGACGCTGATTAGACTGATGGTCCTCTACGGCCACGAGACCTGAACTATGTTGGTAGTGTTTTCCAACGGAAGGTGTTGCGTACCATCTACGGTGGAGTGCAGATGGATGACGGAACGTGGAGGAGACGAATGAATCACGAATTGCATTAGGTGCTGGGAGAACCAGCCATCGTCCACATTGCAAAAATTGGGCGACTACGGTGGGCTGGGCACGTCGTAAGAATGCCGCACGACGACCCAGTGAAAACGGTTCTAGAAGTGACCCAACAGGAAAAAGAAGAAGAGGCGCGCAGCGGGAAAGGTGTATCGACCAAGTAGAAGGCGACCTGCGGACCCTTCGCAGACTACGAGGCTGGCGAAGTATGGCCATGGATCGAGTAGAGTGGAGACGACTTCATCGGACGGCAGAGGACAACAAGGCCTTAGCCTTATCGGTAAGGTAAGTCACCTAAGTTCAATTCAAAGCTTTCCTATTTCAAGCAAAGCTCAAAAAAAAAATCAGTGAAGAACTCATGCATCTTTACCAAACTTCTTAAATCTTTACCAAAGTTCAATCATCTTCCATGAAGTTTCAAGAAATTCAGCGAAGCTTCAACGAAGTTTGAACAACTTAAACTCCGAAAATTTCAGGGAAATTTCAAAAATTTCAGTTTCAAGAATTTTAGTGGGATTCCAAACATTTTGTTGATAAGTATTATAACACTCTTGTAACATGTTATAACACTGTAGTTTGAACAAGACATTACCAGTTACAATACATCGTTATGAGTAGCATTGATTGATACATATTATATTTGTTTGCTGTGTATAGATTAAAGTGATGAGCGGTGGTAGAAAGGGCACGCATTAGTGATTCATTACCACGTTTAAAATCGTTTTCCAACAAATTAAAAATCACACTTAACAAACAAAATAAATCCCTTGACAAATACCGCGTTTCTATGAATTTCTCCTACAGATCCGCATTTCTGCAACATTCAATCAATTCTATAGATCTACGTAAAATTTGGTAGAACTGCCATCACTGACTTGCAACTGTTTTGATTTTGTTCAACACAGCTGACGGGATGACAGAACGAGGGAAAAGCAACTGGTTAAAAAATTGCATGAACGAGGGATGCTTATTTAAAATTGGCTCACTACTTGACTAGCCTATTGGTCCCAAGCAAACGATTAACGTACCCCATTCTAGTCGAAATTCTACTACTACACAATGTTTGTTTTGATTCGCTATGAAAGTTTGACAGATAAAATGAGGGGTTAGTGGATTTTCGAGGGGTGAATCGATTAGCTTGGGACCGAAGAGAGTACCAGAGCTGAGCCAAAAAGTTGAGCACGTTATTTCGGGACCTTCTAGTCTTAGAGTTCTCTATGGTGCTAGTGTGCATGCAAAATACGCTTGACGATATTTTTTGAAGATCCAACCCTAAAGAGTCGAATTCGTAGACTTTCACATACCTACCTGTACCTGAGTACCTGATGGGCGACGACTCGTTGAATTCAAATCTGCGCCGAACGAAGTAACCGTCTCCATTGGTCTCGGTCCTGAGCCAATCGCTTCCAGTCGCCTTGGACGTTCAAGGACCTAATGTCCTCCTCAACTGCACAAAGCCAACGCGTGCGTGACCTACCCCGAAGCCGACGTCCTCTTCCGGGTTCTCTGCTGAATATTGACTTCGCTTGACGCTCTTCCGGCATTCGTGCCACATGCCCAGCCCACTGTAGCCTGCCGTGTTTTATAAGCTTCACAATATCCATGCCGTTATATACTTGGTACAACTCTTGATTCATGCGACGCCGCCAGATGCCATTTTCCAGTTTACTGCCGAGTATTGTTCGCAGCACTTTACGCTCAAAGACATAGAAAGCTCTCCGATCGGCCTCTTTCAATGCCCACGATTCGTGGCCATAAAGGGCTACCGGCAGAATCAACGTCTTGTACAGCGCGAAGTTCGTTTTCGTACGCAAGCTGCGGGACTTCAGCTGGCTACGCAACCCGTAGAAAGCCCTGTTCGCGACTGCAATACGCCTTTTCAACTATTGCTTCCACGATTTCTACCGGCGACCATGTACTTCGTTTTGGTAGAATTTATCGTAAGACCAATCCTCGCTGTCTCCCTCTTAAAAGGCGCGAACGCCTTTTAACTGCTCTACGGTCGATTCCGATGATGTCGATGTCGTCCGCAAAACCAAGGAGCATGTGCGACTTTGTGATGATGGTACCGTTCCTCTGCACGCCAGCTCTCCTAATCGCTCCTTCGAGGGCGATGTTGAATAGCAAGTTTGAAAGAGCATCTCCCTGCTTCAACCCAACTAAGGTCACGAACGAGGCCGAAATCTCGTCTGCAACCCGTACACATGATTTCGAACCATCCAGCGTTGCACGAATCAGCCTAATTAGTTTCGTCGTTTTCTTGCATTATCTGCCATAGCTCGTTTCTCTTTACTGAATCGTACGCTGCCTTGAAATCTATGAACAGATGATGAGTCTGCAAGTTGTACTTGAACTTCTCAAGGGTTTGACGCAGGGTAAACATTTGATCCGTCGTTGACCCTCACGAAAACCAGCCTGGTATTCGCCGACGTAGGATTCCTGAAGCGGTCTCAATCTGTTGAACAGAACACGTGATAATATTTTGTACGTCGAATTCAGAAGCGTGATTCCTCTGTAATTGGCGCACTCCAGTCTGTGTCCCTTTTTGTAGAGGGGACAAACGAGACCATCCAACCAACTAGCGGGCAATTCTTCCTCCTCCCATATCTTGAGCAGTATACGGTGGATCATCTGGTGCAGCTGCTCACTTCCGTGTTTGAGAAGTTCGGCCGGGAGCTCGTCCTTACCCGCAGCCTTACTGTTTTTCAGCTCTCGTATCGCCTTTTTCACCTCTTCTAGCGTTGGTGGTTCCACAGCTTGACCATCGTCGTCGATGTGTCAGTTGCCGAAAATTCCGTCCGTTAGTTGACACGATTCAACATTTCTTGTTTCAGCCGCTGGATGCCAGACAGACGCTGTTTGAGCCGCACCTCCTGGTGGACAGACGCTCGGGTTATTGGGTAGATGGGGCTGCCATCTTGGATTTAGCTGACACAATACAGCATTTCTTTTTCAGCCGCTGGATCCCAGACAGACGCTGTTCGAGCCGCACCTCCTGGTGGACAGACGCTCGACGATTCGCACCTCCTCAGCCTTGCTATCATCACGATATGGGTTAATCGTGATGACATTGCCCACACCCCGCTACCAGACTTTCACATACAATATGATTTACATATGTCTCTGAGCCGGGGGCGCCGTTAAATTGGGGGCCTCGGCTTTAGCTCACCATCACCTTACCGTTAATACGACACTGACGTCGATGCAACAGTCGGTCGACTGTGAAATTTCTCACCTGTCAAATTGTTGATGGGGTTACAACTGATGTCAAAAGATTCCACTGCTATAAAATAAATTCCGCGTCTAGATTCGAACTGGACGAAGCTTTACTATATTGTAAGAATTACCTATCCCTGTTGAACACACTATTTGAAAGAATGCCACCATTTCAACATTTCAAAACTATCTCAGAGCACCTAAAATAGTTTTTGTATAAATTTACCCCATACATATACCACCAGCGCCCTTTTGAAGGATTATCCATGTAATGAAATACTATCTCTAATTTACAGACTTCGAAGAGATGCAAAGTCACGAGTGGAGTGACAAGGTATGACGTCTGCTAAAAACTGTCTCAAAATCAGAGTAAAACTCAACCCATTTCCTTTCCAGGACAACGCCCAGTGGCAGGAACAGTTTGCCCAGTGGAGTCTCAACTCGCAAAATCAGTAATTTGGATTCGGATCGTCACCGTTTGACGTTGTTGCCATTCTTGTAAAACTATCCCTAAGACCCTCGCCCCGCCACCATCCCATCTTTCACCTAAGCGCAAATAGAAAGCTTTCTTGGTACACATTCTAAAAAAAATAACAGACCGGGGCACATCTGTTCTCACTCATTCACGCACCCCCGCACGTGGATATAAACGAACCAGCATCATATCACTCTATCATATTTATAAAACACGTTAGATGAGCAGAATATGTATAAACTCAAAGTTTAATCATTAACTCGACCGATTGCGGTTTTCACTGAAGCTGCCACCTACTTCTAGTTTCTGATTAATTTAATCTTTTGTATGTGATCTCTACGTTAAGTTCGTGAATCAAACAAACTACCAAGCCGAATGCTTTATGAATTTATTGTTCTTTAAACTGGTAGACTTTAGAAAAAATGGTTCCATTCCAGCATAAAATGTGACTTAGCCTAGTTATATATGATCCGTATCGGTTGTCCACGATTGCAAGAATTTTTATTAATCTTTAACAGTGCTCTTTAAGTAGCAGGAAAAGTACTTCTCTATTCATGTTTTGATTTGAGAATTATTTATTTAAGTTCGCGCTGTTAGTAGAAATAAAGTTTTGTTATGTTCATTTTTTTGTTTCTTCGAATCGAAGCCACCCCTTGCTTGTTAATAGGAGAACGCACAGTGATGTACAAAAATAAACAGAATCAAGCATTTTAGGCACCATTGAAAAGTCGAGTTCGTGAACAATTCCATCAGCAACAGCAAATCTTAATAAAATACAAAAAACAAATGGAACTAACTACTCACCTAAGAGAAACATATTAAACCAAACTGACCGACTCTTATTTCCATCGCCTCACAGTGTATAGTGAAGTAAGCCTCGGATCAATTTTAGCTCACCAATACTTAGCACTCTCCCTTCTGCAAAAAGCATATCTTAGTTGCACAACAGTTGCCGCAACTGCTGTGCAACTCGCTTGCGATTATGCGGATCACTAGGGGTGAGAATGACCACGACAAAAATTGGGAAACAATGTCACATGAAAAGAAAAAAAAACAAACGTAAAGGAAAATTATTAGAGCAAACCTTAAGCAAAAGAAGGTGTATGTTTTTAGGCAAAATTAAAACAACAAGCAAAACGTGTTTTCGGAAATTGAAAGTAGAAACAGCACAGTACACTCGTAACATAAATTAAAAGAATGCATACAATTATTCGATTTTAGTAGAACAAAAAAGCAGACTAATATGATGGTATTCAAACAAGTGAGTAGTCTAAACAAAATATACCTTATAAAGCAAAATTTATCGTAAACAGAAATTACCAAAATAAACAAAAAATAAAACTTCAGAATTAACAAGCAAACATCCGCGTGTAGGCTAGCGACAACGATTCGTTCACGAAAAGGAAAACAAAAAACACGTAATTAATATACAAAATATATTGGTCGTAGATTGATTGAGCTGAAAGAATTACATACAAACACAAACACATACAGACAGACAGAAAGACAAACTGACTCAAGCCTTCGAGTTGTTAAATGTGTAAAAATCGAAAACACCCAGCAAATGTCAATATGTTCGCGAAATGTTTTTTTGCTGCCAATGTGATAAATGTTAACGATGAGTAGTCGTCATTGATGGGCAATGGCAAATCTCGAGTAAAGGACGTGTATTGTTTGCGTAGCTTATGCAGCAGCAGCAGCAGCAGCAGCAGTAGCATCATGATGGCAATGAGCACAGCACTACTACACGTGAGCAAACAGTCGGTGGAAGAAATGTGAACTTCGCATTCACTCGTTGAACAACAACAAAAATATGTTGATATTCCTTATCCCAAAAACACACAAGTAACAAACATAAAAATAAAAACATTGAGGAAACAGAATTGTATTCCACACTCAAGTCGAAAAAAAAAATAACACTGCAACAGTATGAGAAAATAAATAAAATACATTAACCAAACTAAATTGGGGATGCCGTTTTATAATTGAATGATTAGATATCACATGCCACATCTTCAATAACATTTTTAAACTTTACTCAATCACTAAAAATATTGCCCACCCATCCCCTTTTTTTCTAAAGATGACTAACTTCGTGTTTGCCCAAGAATATCTGATCGAGTAAAGATTATCATCTGAACACTAGTAAAGTGGACCCTACACGATTGCTTCTATTGACAATAAATGTATTGTCAATACATTCTATATTGATGTCAGTACATCGATATTGACAAAATTTCTGTGTTCACATCATCAATATTATTGGCAATAATTCCCCTTCGGATCAATATATTGATATTTTTTTATATAATCCATTTATTTGTCAAGGCTCAAATGCGTTAGCTTTACAGAGCCGAATATTTTTTACCTTACAACTAATGTTAGTAGAACGGGGACCGATTACTCGCGGCTTACTCGAGATTAGGGATTACATTTATTGATCATTTGGAGGGAGGACAAGGGAAAGCATTTTGAACACAAAACATTAAACACATACATCAACAGCTTTAAGATAGTCGTAAATAAGCTTCATAAAAACGATATCACGGCAAGCCAAGAGGTCTCTAATTGGCTTAAAGGGTTGTTTTCCTCGGACCCTAGAATGTAGCCATCTTCCCAGATCAACATCATTCCACTTTTGTTGCCAGTTGGCGAGGACTTGCTGACGAGAAATCGTGAAAAATTCGTGGTAGGCGATTTGTCGCTCGTAAATATTGCCTTCCATAGCGCCCACCTTGGTCAGCGAGTTCGCTTTCTCATTGCCCGGGATAGAGCAATGAGAGGGGACCCATACCAAGGTGTTGATGCGAGCTGTTTGATAAAGCACTCAATGACGATCGTATTTCCTGGAGAAAAAACGCCGAGTGCTTAATCGGCCTCAGGGAGCTTAGGCTATCCGTAAACATGAAATAATGGTCAGGATGAAGTGAGGCAATACGCTATACAATAACGTAACGGCAATACAATAACGTACGATATAGCTGCTAGTTCAGCAACGTACACTGGAGTCGCTTTTTACGCGGTTTTTTTTACACGGTTTTTTTTTACGCGGTTTTTTTTTACGCGGATTTCGGAATTTACGCGGTTTTTTTTTACGCGGATTTCGGTTTTTTTTACGTGGATTTCAGAACTTACGCGGTATATCGCTTTTTACGCGGTTTTTTCTTACACGGTCTTTTTTTACTCGGTTTTTTTTTTACGCGGATTTCGGAATTTACGCGGTTTTTTTTTACGCGGATTCCGGAATTTACGCGGTTTTTTTTTTACGCGGTTTTTTTTACGCGGGACGTATCACCAGCGTAAAAAGCGACTCCAGTGTATACCGAACACGGCGTTTTTAAGCTTGTATGAGGCGCTATGAAGATCGTGGAATACTCCAAAACCAGTGGACGCATTTCACTGACCCATCTGGGAAAAATCTCTTCTCGGTGGGGACGTGGCGGTATTTGTTCGCAAAAATAGTTGGGACAATCAGGGAACGGTGAGGCTCTGGAATTCTTGGCCACCCATATGACACCAACGCAAACCATCAACATCGCCGAATAGGGGAAGGTTTCCCCTTTCCGATGATGTTGTTAGTTTGCGTGGGCGACCGTCGGTTGGCGAGAAGAGGGCCTACAAAGGTTTGTTTACAAAAAGCTTGTATGTCCTTTTCACATGTGGCTCTTGACATGGCTTTTGAGAGATGTCCATTGTTTCAGGGAAGTCCAAACGAATTAGTGAGAGTCACCACGCCCTGCAAAATAAGCCAGAATTAACTAGAATTAAGTATTGACTCAATGACCATAGGATCCGGACCGAGAGTCAATTGTATGGGTAAGGAGCATTGCAGCGATAATACACGGTGTCAACAATAGCCCGGTGCCGAGCGATCCTACCATTCTACAGATGTATCTGCAATCGCAGCTGTTTCTCCCGCAGAACCACCCGGTATTACCGGTTTGTAGTCTCTCTGCACTCTTTCGAAACTGTTCGTATCACCGACGGCAACAGCAACATTAAGAAAGATGCTGCTAACAGAATTGTGAAGGTAACCACACCGGAGGTAACAGAGCCAATCTGGATCGCGGTATTAACAACAATCAATCAGTCCGCATCGTGCTCTCTTGCCGTGCGGATCTATTTGCTTTTTGCTGAAGGAAGTGTTACTACTACCTAAAGCTACAACAAATTTAAACAGCACTTTTCAGTGCTCAACCTGTAAAAATTTTCTACCTTGTTCAACTCTTATTCCTCTTCGATCCTTGTTTGGACCCTACCCGTGGTAATCCTTCTTGGATATCGATTTGGAAAATTCCTCTTCGATCCTTCAGATTCTTATAGTAATCTGCTTGGAAGTCGATTTGGATAAAAATTTACTGCCGCCATGGCGCCTAAACGCAAAAGAAAGGGGCAAACTCTTGACCCCCCTTCTGATGAAATTAATTTGAGTAATCAATTTGATTTGCTCACGGATGATGAGAATGATCCATCTTCCAAGAAAAATTCTAGTAAACTTTCCCGGCTTAATGCCAAGAAGGAAAAGATTCCCCCTATTGTGATAACCACTACCGATTTCCATGCTCTTCGCATGGAACTTTTGAATTTCGTGAAAGTTAAGTTTTCACTACAAATTGGACGTCGGGGTGAATGCCGTGTATTGGCTGAAACCTTGGACGGATTTAAATGTCTTCTCAAGTATCTTACTGAGAAGAAGCACAAATTTTTTACTTACGACACCAAAACTGAACGTGTGTTCAAGGTTGTCATGAAAGGACTGCCCAGTGGTGAATCCCTGGATCAGATCAAAGATGAACTGGCAAAATTACTTGGAGTTGTGCCACTCCAAGTAATCAAAATGAAAATGAAATCCCGTCCTGGCGATTCGCGCAACGGGATTTCTAATGATTTTTATTTAGTTCACTTCAAGTCTAGTGAACTAAACAACCTTAAGGCCTTAGAAAAAGCTAGCCTTATGCTCCATGTCCGAGTGAAGTGGGAACACTTCAGGAAGACTGGAGGAAATTTCCAAAACCTCACCCAGTGCCGTAAGTGCCAGGGATGGGGTCACGGAACTAAAAATTGCTACATGCCAGCTAAATGCATGAATTGTGGTGATTCCTCTCACGCAAAGGACGACTGTCCTGTGAAGGAAGATCCTAAGAAATTTAAATGTTCAAATTGTGGTGAAAACCACAAATCCAATTTTTGGGAATGTAAGACTCGCAAAGCGATCCTACAATCTCGTTCTAACCGTCAGGTAGGAAACGCTCCACGTTTCCGACCAGGTACAAATTCCTCTGCTGTTAACAACGGTCAGCGAGGAACAAATTCTACATTCGTACCCGTAGGTACAAATATCTCCCCTGCTTCAAATGTTTCATCTGTACCTACTCCACTCGCTGCTAACAATGTTCAGCGAGTTAATGGAGCTACCTATGCTGCTATTGCAGCGGGTAGAAATCAAAATACTAACCAACGTTCTAACGGAAATTTTGACAATTTTGACTTAGGAAGCATTACTGCCCCCAAAATGGAATTTTTACAGAATTCATTAATTGACATGATTTCTGATATGCTTAAATCTAACTCCATGTTTGATGCTATTCAAACTGGAGTAAAATTTGCAAATAATATTGTCATGACTTTAAAATTCAGTAATGGATTTTAAAGCATTAAATATTGTAAATTGGAATGCTCGATCTCTTAAAGATAATGAAGACGAGCTATTTAACTTTTTGAGAGTTCATAACGTGCATATTGCCGTTATAACTGAAACGTTCCTTAAACCTGACCATAAGGTTAAGA